GAACACTCCCCATAACCCATGCTCAGGCAAAGCTGGAGTAGAAGGAGAGGAGAAAACTTAAATGAGTCAATTTTACAACTTGTTAGCAGTTCTGCCAAAAGGCTTAGTAGGATAAAAAAAAATGGCTACAATAAACCAGGCTTGGTGGCTCACACCTGTAATACTAGCATTCTGGGAGGCCGAGGCGGGAAGACAGCTTGACCTCAGGAGTCTGAGACCAGCCTGAGCAAGAGGGAGACCCCCGTCTCTACTAAAAATAGAAAGAAATTATCTGGACAACTAAAAATATATATATAAAAAAAATTAGCTGGGCATGGTGGCACATGCCTGTAGTCCCAGCTACTCGGGAGGCTGAGGCAGGAGGATTGCTTGAGCCCAGGAGTTTGAGGTTGCTGTGAGCTAGGATGACGCCACGGCACTCTAGCCCGGGCAACACAGTGAGACTCTGTCTCAAAAAAAAAAACAAAGGTGTGGGCAAGATTTTGTACAAAGCATTATATTATAAAAATTATTAATAACCTAAATTATCAATAATAGGGGATTGGCTAATTATGGACGAGGTAATGAAATAGTACGAAGCATTAAAATAATCTTTTCAAAAAATATTTAATGATAACAAATAATGGTTAGGATACTTCAAAACAAGTTATAAAATAGTACTTATAATACAATCCTATTTAGGGTAAGAAAAGGATTTTTTATGAATAGGAAAAAAAAGGCCACATTAAAAAACCCCAAAACATTAACATGGGATTATAGATGATTTTTATAACCAGGACCCTCCCCCTCCCACCGAAAAAAAGCCCCCAGCAAATGCTATCTGTATCCCTTTTTTTTTTTCTTGTGGTATCATTAGAAAAGGTGCCAGCTATTTCAGAAAATGTTGATACTTTCTTAGCGGCTCTGGTAAGAGGCTTGATTATTTATGAACTTCAGTTATCTGTTTTGTTTTCCCCCATCTAGTTTTTAGGAATGAAAGACAGCTGTATGAATCTGTGATAAGATCTCAGACATAAGAGCATTTCTGAGGTGGCCAAGTGCCAATATAATTCTTATCTTTCATTATTTTTGCTGCAATAGGAAGGAAGGGAAAGGTCTGTAGACCTGGTTCTCTGGAGCTTGCTAACAGTAGGTGTCAAGGTCTGGGTGAGAGGCGAAAGGCACTCCACAAAGAGCTCCTCAAGGGCACGAGAACGCCTGTATTTGTTGGTCCTGTAGGTCAAGTGTCCTGGAGTGCAGGGGTTCTGAGGCCCAGCAGAAAGGATGGCAGAGCGAAAGGGAAAGAATAGCCTAAATTGCATGACCTCTTGTATTAAGGTGTGTTAGAAGGGAAAAAGTATTGAGATACTGTGTAAAAACAAACAAACAAACAAAAAACTAAAAGGAGGAACTAATTTGGTGGCCTTTCCCAGCTTTAGGCAATTCTACCCATATCTAAATGAAAAGGTACCTGTGAAAATCTTTAAATTGAACTAAATCATGAAATTCCATCCTAAGAGACCAAAGGTTCATTTACTTCTATTTAACAAGACAGAGAACATAAATGAATAAAGTAATGCTAGTACTTGGGTAGTTCCTTTAGTGATGAGGTGGGGTAGGTGTCCAGAAAAAAGAGGAAGTCTTTAGGGTACACATATGCAGGGTGTAATGTTTTCATCAGGTCTGCCTTGGTGACCTGGAATTTAAACTTCTGCCATGCATGGGTCATGGCTGGGTGAGGCTTCTAGGAGGTGAGCCAACAACTTTCTGATGAGTAAATTTACTTCCTTCTGAACATCATCTTCCTCCCAAACAACTTCCCCT